CCTGCATGAAAAGGGAACGTTTCCATATCTGCTTAATTTAAACCAATGTCTGCATCAAAGAACCTTCAGCACAGCTTGTCTAATAAATCTGATTTAGCTAGAAAAACCCTGAACCTTTCAAAGTCAGCATTGGCAGATGGGATCTTTTTATATAACACAATTATTTCGGCCAAGAAAACTTATCAGGATCCCTCTTTATTACGTTTTCCAAAATAAAAGACAAATTATGGAGCCCTTTGGTAAAAAGATAGATTACTCTGCTACTATTTAGTCACATTGCAGCTGCAGTGATCAAGATTTAAATATTAAATTAAATAATTAAATTACATTTATAAAGGCTGCAGCGACCAGATTAGACCTGAAACGGTTAATCTGATTAATCGATTACTGAAATATTCCTAAACTAATTTAGTAATTGATTATTTGTTAACTGCAGTATAGAGACTGTAAAACATGCATTAGAGCAGTAACTATATCAAAATTGTAAAAGAATATGTCAAAATTTAAGAGAAAAAAACACTCTTTTGTTTGTCAATCTGTTTTTTCCAGAACTCCTTGAGTGAAAACATTTTAGTTTCACCTGGTTTAATTTAGTAAATATATTTTCTTTGAGGAACCATTGATTGTCTTATTATTAATCGATTAATAAAATAAAATTGACAGATTGATTGATTTGGAAAGTTATTGTTATTTGCAGCGCTGGACCAGACCTTCATTTATTGCTTTCTACCAGACTTGTTTCTCTTTCCCAAGCTTAAAAATTTGGAGCAATGATCAAGCCTTTTTGTAGAAGTAATTAAATCTCATAAAAACCAGCAAAGACACACAAAGCCTATGAGGTTGATCAATTCAATTCAGTTTATTTCTATATATGTCATCGCAGGTCACCTTACAGTTCACCTGATCATCCAGTCAGAGTAATTCAGTTTTCTATCTAAGAAAAACCAGCTGATTTCATCGACTCATTGACTTGAAGGCAATTCCTCACACTAAGCATGCTTGTAGAATGCTTAGTGATAGACATAGAAAAAGAAGCATAGATACAAAAGGCAACTGTCAACCAGCTCCACAGGCGGCCCCGTCCAGGAAACACACAGCCAGGCAGACGAGCTCCGAGCCAGCTCCCATGTCAGAGGATGAAGAGAGCACATCCAGTCAGAGAAACAGGACTACACTGAAAAACAGGCCAAGCTCCAACATCTAGGAAAAAAAGGTGTTGGTGGCAGGAGCACAGCTGATATTTCTCTCCAGGATGGAGTCACAGCCAAACAGGAACAGATAACAGAATCATTGATTCAGCAAACAATCTTGGATCGACTGAATGCCCGGATCTTTCTACCACCTCTCTGTACTGAAAACGTCATAATTCAAGGATTTTCTTTGTATGTTTAAAACTACTTTTTCATTTCGATACAATACAGATATTGCAGCTTTGAGAATTTGCTGATATTGACCTGATCCGATATTAGCACAAATCATACCAGCTTTTATCACTTCTGTTGTAGTGTAGAACGTTAGAAAATGCTTGAACAACTAAAATCACTTAAACAAGGAACAAAAGTTATGAAAACAACTGATCCATGTAAGATTAACCCATGAGTTACAGAACCTTTTAACAGAAGCAGAGAATTCTATTAGCATGAAGATATTTTCATGATTTAAGGATTTTTTTTGCAAATTAATTAATCTGTCAATTATTTTTTCAATTAATCTGTTAATAAGCGGATAGCCAAAGGTTTCTTAAAGAAGATTCTGTTTCACAAAATTAAACCAGGTGAAGTTTATTTTTTTCCACCTGAGGAGTTCTGGATAGAGCAGATTGACAGAAGAAAACCTTTTTAAATCTTAATTGCAAAATGTTTACATATTTTATTTTTCAACTTTGGTATAATTCCTGCTCTAAGTGGGTCACTCTGTCAGAGTAGAATCTCTATACTACATTTAACTATTAATCAAATCCTATATTAGTTGACAATAAATTCAATAATCAATTACTCACAATTAATCCCATTAGTTGTTTTAGCCTTAGATTTGATATAAATAATTAGATGCTGGACGATAAAATCCAACATACATTATTTAGCTTATAGCGGAGCAGGACATTCCTAGTTCCCTGTCATTTCCCTAAATTAAAAAACTATTAACTGAAAAATGAACAGTAGACGCCTGTATAATAATATTTAAAATATATAGGTTTTATCACCTTTTTTGTTACATATCCATACAGACTGATATGACTAACTAGAACCTGCAGCAGGTCAACGTTAAAAATAAAACCCTTCTGCAGGCTGGATAAAATGTTCACTATATTTACCAATGCCTTAGAACGGAGGTCTTCAACAGGGGGTTTGCAACCCCTAGGGGGTCCACGGAGATATTGAATGGGGGTCGCAAAAGTTTTTTTTTTTTTTTTTTTTTATATTCCCCTGCTGCAATTTTTTCCACTAATTAAAATGTGTTTAAATCCACATTAACATGAATTCAACACACTGTAGTTAACGGATAAATGGAGGCAGATGTCTTTCAGTCATCAATGCAAACATTCAGCGACACACGGGAGCTCTTTTAAGCTGGGCACCATTTCATTCACAACACCTGTCCCATCAACCAGGAATCTGAATCAGAAATACTTTAATAATCCCAGGGAGAAATTACTTTAGTTACATTACTCCATCTGTAATAGCATGACTGTAGGACCAGTTTGATAGAACACAATTTCAAACAATATATATAAGTAAGGGGTCCCCGCTCCATCCTGCCATCTCCTGCCTTAGAAGGTTCCTGCACACATATTTAATCCTCAGACTGATTTTAGATGTTATAAAAGCTCATGTATCTGGAGCAGGCGGGGGCCCGCCATCCCCAACATTACAGCAGAAGATAATCTGGTCCTAAACTTAAACAAAGGGTTTTTGAGTGGATCCATGGTGGGACTGGTTCTGGACTCCTGGAATGATCCAGACCACTTGAGTCAGCATCACAGATCATCTGAAGCAATAAGATGTGTTCAGGTCTTTTAATGCTCATCATTAATGTACGTAGTTGACAACAGGTCAAACCAGAACTCACTCGGACCTGAACGCTAGGGCTCAACCATTTAGCCAAATATCAAAATTGCGATTATTTTCAACCAATATTGTGATTTTATTGCGATTTTCTTTCCTTTCCACTAAGTCACAAGCATGTCAATGTTTTTTCATGACCTTGAAAGCCTGCTTGTCCAGAATCCAGCGCTGCAGGACTTTGCTGTAACATTTGCATGAAAAAGTTCTTACTTCTACTATAATGCATAGATCTAGGTTCTAGCTGCAACTCTGTTCCCTTCTGTGCGACAGGATGTCCACTTTAATCGTTTTACTGCCACCCAAAGGGTTGGGAAGAAAAATTAGTGTCCTACTACTGTTAAATGTATTGTGACTAAAATTGGCTGCGATTTGAAAATTGCATTTTTCTAAATTGCGATTATATTGCAAATGCATTTAATTGCCCAGCCCTACTGAATGCTGGGATATTCTGTGGTCTAAATCTCCTCATGTGCTCCAGAGGGGCGCTATGTCTTGACCTGTGTGGTCCAAAGCACCAACAGCTTTAGGGAATCCTGGATCAAAAAATAAAAGTAGTAGTTCCACAGGAAGTTTGTTTTGGGATGTGTAGGCTAATTCATGCGTACAGGGGGCCGATTTCCTCCCTAGAAAGTGATAACTATAATGCAGGTAATTATCAGGAGGAATTAAAAAATAGGAATGCTATTTTACAGGAAGACGCACGTTTGGAGCTACACTGATTGAAAACACCTTTGCTTCTTTATCTGCCTTTGTTTTTAATCCCTTCAACAAATTAAAGTTTATTAAAGTAGAGTGACCATATTTTCATTTGGGAAAACCAGGACACCTTGGAGCGGGGAGGGGGCGGCGGGGGGGGAACTCTGTTCCCATGCATAGAGATGTCTGTGGCATTCACTCACTTAACATAGGCCTACGTAATCGTACAATAACATGATATTTACAGTTGATTTATTAAAAAATGCTTTTCAGTAAAAGTCAACAGCAATAACTCCAATAACAAATGATAATTTTATTCAAAATGCTTAACAATTCCTGTAATGAATGAATAGCACAATGAAAGAAATAATGTCTCATCTAAACATCCCTCACTAAACAATAAAAGTACAATAACTCTCAACTCCCAATAACAGATGATACTCGGCCTCAGTAATGAACGAAATAATGTCTGTTCTGTAGGCTATTGGTAAAAATAAATTAACAAATGAGCTAATTAACAAAAAATACCTCTTGTGTAGCAAAAATAACTCAAAATGTACCAAAAACGAACAAACATATCAATAGACTATCTTTACTTTGGTGTCCAGGTGGCTTTTCAGATCCCTTGCACCTCCATTGGACACTGAGACATATGTACTGACAGCCACGCTATCTATCTTCTGATTAAGAACAGGGCTGCCCGTACTGACGCGGCTCAGGGATTACGTCCCACGCAGCGCCATGCGCAGTGCCCTAGTGCCTGTTAAAAAAAAAACGGGACGCCCAGGACAGGACTTGAAATACGGGCATGTCCTGGGAAATACGGACGTTTGGTCACCCTAATTAAAGGCGTTTCTGTCACACTCTAAGCAAAAACATCATCCAACGGCAACAATATCCACATAAGAAATAATAAAGTTAAGCTACCAGAATAGTGTTAAAATAGGATAAGTACTTTACTGTATTACAATATATTTGTGGTTTTTAATGTAGGCTGATAAAATAAATAAGAAAACGGAATCACAGAATGGGAACCCATCTGAGCCTTAATTAAGCCAGGATATCCGGATAATCCCAGCTTAATCCCACATCCCGCTGTTGAAATAAACCTCCGGTCTCTTTTTTTTCTGCTGTGAAAGGTGATTTTATTTATCATCTCTGATTGACTTCCTGTGGAGTAACATAGAATACCAGCTCTGATCAGAGTCTGCTGAATGCTTATTTGTTCAGTGATGATGGAGCCGTTTGCTGATTCTTCAATATATATCATCATACTCCTCATCTGCGTCCAACAGGTTTGAAACCATCATGGGGAAGAAGTCCAGAAGGTTAAAGGACGCAAGAAAGTCTGGCATCAGTGAGGATTGTAAGTAACCCTACCATAACCCTTTCCTAATTGGTTTCCATTGGTGGTTTTTAGCTAGGAAGGACATGATAGTCCTTCCTAACAAAATACCGAATGCATTTTGTTTGGTTCTCCATCAATTTCAAATGTTCTCACCACAAACTCCAGCAAGCTTAGCCTCGTGAGACCATCCTGATCTCGCGAGCTTTCAAGATTTCACTCGCAGATCAGTCTGGAGACTCCGTTAAAGAAAATTTGGAGCCGTTCACCAAACGAACGTCCAATCAGCGTTGGCTTTGAGGCGGGTTGAGGTGTGAGGCAACGAGAAGCGCGACAGTTCAGTCTAAAGAACATGGCGGCTTCAGCCGATGAAACTAGCGTTAGCGTGGCTATCGAGCAAGTTTTATCGGAATTACAGAGTATTTCTTTACTGAAATAAGAGCAAAACACTGCTCTGGAGGCTTCTCTCAGAGGAAAAGATGTTTTTGCTCTTCTCCCGACTGGTTTCGGCAAGAGTTTGATCTATCAATTGGCTCCTCTTCGTCGTCGCTCTGTTAGTACATCATATGCTTCGTTGATCTGATTGGTTTATTTGGCCCGTCTATCACCAACATAGGCCAATCAGCTAACCAGTTTTTTCGCCCCTTCCCAAAATTACTTCAACGGAAGGTTTCCAGATGGATTTGCTCCGCATATCCATCTGGTCAGGTTATTAAACTACCAGAGAGACCTGACATCAGCATCAGCTGTCTTCAGAGATGCAACTGTTGTTGTCATTTTGCTAATCGATTACCGGTAATATTCAGTAGGGTTGTCAAAAGTATCGATACTCAAAAAAGTATCGATACTGAAACGTTGTATCCGGATACAATACTTGTTTTTAAAAGTATCAATACAGTGGCACCTAAAAAGTCATTCGTCTAAAGTGCAGAATAGAGGATAATGTACTTTCAGAACACTGTGTGATTGAATAATTCTGGTCACTTTTCAGTTTCAGACTTTTTTTGTAACCGGTTTGGCTAGTGTCATTGTTATGTTCGCAAAGCATAGCCAAGGAAGGAGCACTTAATTTTTATTTTGTACGTTTTTTATCAAGCTTGCTTAATATTGTGCACAGTATAGAACCTCAAAATATTGTTCTTATTGTTTTTTGTATTTATTTATTGTATTTTATTTATTACTGAAAATATTTCTGTTGAATTTTGGAGTCTTTACTTTGTTCTTATCCTTGTGGTATCGAAAATGGTATCGAGTATAGAATATTTTCCTTAGTATCGGTATCGAGTTGAGGAGTTTAGTATCGTGACAACCCTAATATTCAGATAGCAAAAGGTTCGTTAAAGATTTTTTTTTTTACAGAATTTAAACCTGGTGAAAGTTTTCCATCTATATTGACGGAGGGAAAATATCTCCCGCTCCATTCTCCTGTCATTAGGGAGCAGGACCCCAAGATACTTGAATCCCTCCACTATAGACAGGAACTCCGACCTGAAGGGTACAGGCCATCTTTTCCTTGTCCAGAACCAGAACCATTGCCAACAGAACCACGTCATCCGTAAAAAGCAGAGACCCACTGGTCCCCAAACCAGACCCTCTCGGGTCCTTGGCTGCACCTGGGAATCCTGTCCATAAAGGTTCTGGACAGGATGGGAACCACAGAGAAGTGCTGATGGAGTCCAACATGCGCAGGGAAAAAGGTCCAACTTAAAGGAATAGTACACCCAAAACATGATTAACCTTCATTTTCTACTCACCCCCATGCTGAACAACACTCTGTAGTACTTTTTTGATATCTCAAATGCATCTGGAGATCTGGGAGGCTTCGTGCTGTCTGCTGACATTCAAATAATGGAGGTCTATGGTGCCCGAGACAGAAAGGTCCATAAAAGTCCACAAAAAACGTGTCAATATTCCTCCATACTGCTCGTCCAATGTATTCCAAGTGTCCTGAGTGGGTAGCATCCAGAATTTACTCGAAACAAAGTCATTTAGAATGTTTTTAGAGCATAAACAGTAGTGTATAGGATTTCCTGAAAGCGCGCACACGACGCTACGGAAGCCGGCAGACCAAACCAGCGCATTCAGCTCGGCAAAGAACTCATGCTCTTCCTCAACACTGAAGTCCTCAGACATTTTTCTTTCGTTGTTTCTTTCTTTGCACAGGTAAACGGCACATTTCTTCTTCTACGCTTGCATTATTGGCAGAGCAGACGCTGAATGCGCACTTTCATCTGGTTTGGTCTGCCGGCTTCCGTAGCGTCGTGAACGCGCATGTGCGCTCTTTCAGGAAATCCTATACACTACTGTTTATGCTCTAAAAACATTCTAAATGACTTCGTTTCGAGTAAATTCTGGATGCTACCCACTCAGGACACTTGGAATACATTGGACGAGCAGTATGGAGGAATATTGACACGTTTTTGTGGACTTTTATGGACCTTTCTGCCTCGGGCGCCATAGACCTCCATTATTTGAATGTCAGCAGACAGCAAGAAGCCTCCCAGATCTCCAGATGCATTTGAGATATCAAAAAAGTACTCCAGAGTGTTGTTCAGCATGGGGGTGAGTAGAAAATGAAGGCTAATCATGTTTTGGGTCTACTATTCCTTTAATGCCGGCAATACGGACCAAACTCCTGCTCCTATTGTAAAGAGAATGGATGACCTCGACTCCGTGTTGCTGAAGCGCCCTCCACAGGGCACCACAAGGAACACGGACCAATGCCTTCTGCAGGTCCACTGTTCCACGGCCACTGTTACACAGAAGCTGAGGAGTAGGATCCTCTATATTTGGAACAGGCCCTCCGGTCCCCCTTCTAATGCAGAGGAACCACCAGCCCAGTCTGCTTATCCAGGGCCACTGACCCAGACCTCCATGGGAGGCTGAAGAGGGGTCTCAGCCATGACATCCTGAAGACAAAAAACAGTTGAAGGTCAGATCGCCATACGCTTAAAAAAAAACACCAAATTTTAATAATTAAATAGTTTTTTTGTACGTGACTAAAAGGATTACTCGCCCGTTGAGGTAGTTTAAAGTCTATTTTTTCATACAAAACTAAAGGGATAAACTGGTAGTGACTATGGGTATGCTGGTCTGACCGGGTATGCTCATGTGACAGAACACCGCCACTCCCCACATCCCCCCCAGCTTTTTATTGTCATTACACTTACAAGTACAGAGCAACATCCAGAACTCTGAGATACTCAGGGCGGGAAGGAAAACAAGAACTATTAAGGTTATCGTCCGTCAATCGTAACTGCTTATTCTCTAATGGGGTCATGGGGGCCTGGAGCCCATCCCAGTAGTCAACCGGTCCATCACAGGCTCTTCAGGTTATATGTTTCTTTTTTTTTGTCTCAGAAAGTTTATAACAAGTTCTTTGATGAAACTCAGGATGGTTGGAAACTTAACTAAAGAAGAATCTTTACACTTAATGGGAAATAAGCCGAACCTCTGAGGCCGCCGTGGAACGTTTCTATCAAGCATCTGACTTCCTTCCACCGTCCTCTTTCATGGCAGCAGCTCCCCTTTTTATGGCACTAGTGGCTCGTTTTATGGACATTAAAGGGGGTATGAGTGACACATGCGGCAAAGGACGAATTCGAACCCGGGTTTCCTGCATCGAGGACTACGGCCATGATGCATTGATATGTGTGCTAACCACTGCACCACCAGAGAACGCCCCCTGCCAGAATCACTTTGCATCTACAACCTTATGAATTAGTATCCAGAAACAAAAATTTCCGGACAGAATTTGTGTCCCTGATGAAACTTTGAACCATGTCTGCAGAAAAACCTTTGATGCAAACTCTGCTTTGGAAACGCAGCAGCCTGCTGTCAGACATGGAAAACACACAACCTCTTTATAATATAAAGGTTTTATTTTCAGCAGTGAAAAACAGCCAACAACATGTTTGTTCTGTTGGACCTTTAATCTTTCCACATGTAAACAGAAGTTTTGATGTTATTTTTCTTTGTTACTGTCAGACAAAAAAAAAAAATGCTGCACTAATGAGAGCTTGTAGAGTTTGCTTCTAGAAGCTGAGACTGAGTGCGCTCTGTGGGTTTGCAGGCTGTGCTCTTTGCAGGCGCAGTGATGACGACCCGGCCATGTTTGGAGAGAAGGTCAAACTGGAGGAGGAGAACTTCTCCGTCCATTACTTCTGTCTGGTAAGTTCTCAGCAACAGGCTTCAGACGGTCTTCAATATAAAGGTTTAAATATCTTTTAATCACTGTTGCCATGGAAATGATCTCACAATCAGTGGATTATTAAATCGGCTAATAACCATTTAATCATGATTAACTAATTCAGCCCTAATATACATCTGTTCTTTAATAGTTTTTTTTTTAAACCTTTTATCATTTTTTCTGACTGACTCATTTTAAAGCAGCTCCTCCAATTTCATGTGAATGCAAAGAAGAAAGGAAATAAAAAAAACTGTTCTATTTGCTGAGATAAGTTTAAATCAAAACAGTTTATTTATACGCCGCTAATTCATATCACAGCATCTTTATATGACTTACAGAATCAATTCAATCAAATTATCCAAACCGATTCATTAACAGTTTTCTCTATAAAGAGACCCAGCTGATGGCATCGAGTCGTTAGCTATGCTTACATTCAAACAATTTCAGAATTGGATTGAAATGTATTCTCACTCAAAAAATGTAAAATGACTCATAATAAACGGCTATTTGTAATAAAAATATTAGGGATGCACGATATAATCGGCCCCCTATCGGTATCGGCCTGTATCGGCCTTAAAACTGAATATCGGACATCGGCCCCCCCACCGATATTTAACCCGATATTTGATCAGCTTCTGAGTTTCTAAAGTCTAAAAAAAAAAAAAATACTACTTCTTCTTCTTCCTCAAAAACTTCTTTTTTACAGACTTAAAAACTTCTAAAGACGAGGGAAAAAATATTGATCCATTAAAATATCACAATATCTTCATATGCTGATATATTGCCATTTAAAAACACCATATCAATCTCTTTTACTAAGGAAAGATTGCTATATGTCATCATATGTCATCATAATGACATCATATGTCATTATGCTACAAAATCCCCCGAAAATTCACGAAACGTTGCCATATTTTTATATGTTGATATATTGACGCGGTATCGATCTATTTTACTAACAAAATCTCACAAGAATTTGCAAAATATCACGAGAGTTTGTAACAGAACGATGAAATTTCACGAGATTTTGAAAGTAAAATAGATCGATACCGCGTTTTTAAAAATCTATTTGATATCAGCATATGAAAATATATTTGAGTATATTATTTTTCAAAGTGTCAGAAATGGATAACAAAACTGCTATTTTCAATGACTGCTTATTTTTGTCCAGCTTTAACATCGGTATCGATATCGGTTATCGGCTACATGAGTTTTAAAATATCGGCATATCGGATATCGGCCAAAATCCCAATATCGTGCTGCATCCCTAAAAAATATGTAAAGAGGTCATTTGTAATAGGCCTGGGCAATTAATTGCATTTTCAATATCATCACAATGCAATAAAATGTAAATTTCAAATTGGAGACACACTTTTTTTCTAACTCCGGCACTGTAAGTGCCAGTAATAAAATGTTTAAAATGGATTTCAGCTAGCACACAGCTCTATGGATGCAAGTAGAAATGAGCACCAAACAAAAGTTGCAGTAAAGTCCTGCAACAATGGACAGGCAAGGATTTAAAAAATTGTAACCCTGGAGTGAAACATCTTGATTGTCCATAGTGCAAAGTGAAATCTACAGTACGGTAAATAAAATTGCAATATTGGTTGAAAATAATCGCAATTTATATTTTTGGTAAAATCGTTCAGCCCTAGTTTGTAATAATCCTAAAATAGTCTCAATCTGAGCCATTCACTGTGTCACTACGTTTCCTCCTGATGATGCTCCCTGGCTGCTTGGCCACAGGCTCCTTTGGCTGACTGTTGAGAGAGCGGGACGTTAACCCAGGAGTCTCTTGGATCAGATCCCAGCAGGCCCTCTCCGCTGTGCACCTTGACACAGTTTTTAGACCCAGCTTTATTAAATACTTAAAAAACAACAACAAAAAAAGTTTTTACACACCTAATTTATAGGATAAACAAAATAGAACCTACTGGATATAGAAAAGATTAATAAAAAATGTGTAACGCATAAAATTTCCACAAAAAAAAGAGATTTAGAACTATCATTAATAGACAAGCAGACGCTAACTGTGAGCTAGCTCTCTGTTTTTAGTCTAATCCACCTATCAGTTCTGGGAGAGACTTTGTTCTGTTAGCAGAGGTTTAAACAGGTTGGAATTACAGTACTGCTGAATCATTTTGCCAAAAGTCTAAATTATGATTATTTTTAACCAAAATTGCGATTGTATTTCAATTTTCTTTTGCACCAACCCCAAATTTGTAGATGTTTCACCCCAGGCTTTCGGATTTTGAAAGTCTGCTAGCCCAGAATCCAAAGTGTTTACTTCATGCATGCATGGATCTGCGTGCTAGCTGCAACTCTCACTATCTTTCTGTATGTTGAGGCAATCCCACTTCAAGTGTTTTACCTCCATCTAAAGGGCTGGAGGGAGACATTTAGTGTCCTGCTTTTCTTAAATATAGCCAGATTAAAAATCAGTGCTTTGCGATTTCAGAATTGCGTTTTGTTAAATTGCCATTGTATTGCAAATGCAATTAATTACCCAGCCCTAGTTGGAATGTTAGAACTCAGATCATGAAGGTAATTTCCTCATAAAGCTTCTCCATATAGCATGCTAACTGCTAGCATGTTCCAAAGGTTTATCGTAATGTCCTCCAGTTTTCTATCATCGTCTCCTTCTGATCAGAGAAGTTCTGCTGCTCCTCCATCAGCGCTGCTAAATGGGCCCATTTAGGAGAACTGAAGGAGTTTATTTTCACTAACAGAACCACAGAAAGTTAATTCGGGATCCTTGGATCCATTAAAGGAAAAGTTTAAAAACTAAATACGTTTGTGGTGATTTAATTAATTTAGCGTTAATCAGTAAAAAAATAAAAACAATATTTTTCATTGGCATCACCGAGTCTGGGAGCGGCCATTTTTGCCCAAATATAGTACCACCTCCCTCCTGCCATCTTCCGGCAGTGATGTCACGGTGCGGTAAGCCTAGCGCCATTCTCCCCACTTTACAAGCAAAATCAATGGGAACTACTAGACACATCTGCAATCAACAACAATTATTGAAGATTTCCAGAGGACTTCACCATTGAAATTCACCAGAGCTATAGTGAAACTGACAATGCCCACGTGCATGGCAGCTGGATGTTGGAATACATCGGTAAAAAGTGAAAAAAAATTAGTTATTTCACCTTTCTGATTCCTGATCCTCCACGGACGGGTTGGTCGTTGCATCGCCAACTTGAAGAGGGAGGATTTGCTTTTAAACTTCTGTAATATGTAGCCAACATTTGGAAGAAGAATGTTTTCAAGATGACTTCGATAATAGCGCGTTGTGACAAACACCAGATACAGCACTGGGACTTGATCAACAGCCGATACCGCACCGTGACGTCACAAACCAGTAGGTGGCAGTAGTGTTCTTTGAAAAACATGGAAGCCCCGAGTAAAGCATTCAAATGAAAATTACTCTGAATTAAAAAAACTTTTTATTTATTGAACAGTATGGAATAATTTCATATTTAAAGTACTTTCAGAAGTTTTTATTCTGAATATGACCAGACTTTTCATTTAAACAGTGGAAATAATCGAGACTGGATTCTGGATCCTTTCATGGTTCTATTCTAGCATGGCTCCACTCTGACAATAGTTCCCTCACAGATACAGCCTCCTTCCTACTGAAAATAACGGGTTAACGCATGTTTTTCACCCTGGCTCAACAGTATCTAGCTCACATCAGCAAAAAAAAAAAGCTGCTCTATCCCCTCGCCGGCAGCTGCATGGCCTCTGCCCTCCTGCAGCTGTCTGGTGACACCATTACGCTGGGTTAGCATTGATGATGTCACCAGAGCGACAAAAATCAGGAAAGTAAACAACAGAGAGCCACAGGGTGTAGTCAGTGTGCTTTATTGTTTCTCTCTATTATCTGTCTGAATCCCTCTCACTGGAGGTGCTCCACGTTAATCGAATGTAATATGAGTTGTTTCTGCTTGTTAGATCAGAAGCGACTGGCGCGGTGTGTTTACCTTCGTTCAATGGTATCAAATAATTCAGCGGGTCGACTGGCTCTGTGTTTCCACAGCATGCCGATCAGAGCCGAGGCGATTTTAACGCAGGTCGCTTGCCGAGTCTTTTGACCTGGGTGGACACGCATCTGTTCCCGCTGCCACTAAAAGCCCATTGTTCCCATGTTTAAACAGGTTTTTAGAGCCAGTGAGGCTCTGCTTACTAATGAACAGTGCCCTCTAGTGGACGGCAGCAGCATTACGTCCCTTTAAGTGAAAGTTATCAGTTAAGCAGATGCAGCAACTTTATTTTAATCAACTAAAACCAATAATTGACAAGTAATCGTATGTTTATTGTTTACATTCCACATAATTAGTGAGCGTTTCCACAAAAAGAACAGAGCGTTTAATGCAGGTTATGCAGTTTTTTTGCATTTGATCTTGATGCTTTGTTCATCGGTCAGCTGTAATGAAATCTGAGATTAATACAAATCGGTAGATTAGGGCTTCAGTCTGATAGATTTGGTTCATCACTGTTTCATTAAAAGATGAGGAACCTGGAAACAGGAGCCTGAAGAACAAGTTGCTTCAGAGCGGCTCCAGTGAAGGTTGCTGCCTCTCTGGTTACGGCTAGTTCGCACCCTGCAGTTTGTTTGTTGCTCAGGAGGCTTTTTGATGTGTTGTGCAGCTGACGTCGAGTGGAGTTTACCAGCGAGGAGAAGAGAGCGAAGGCGTCTTTGGTTTCCTGGTGGATGACATCAAACAGGAGATCCGAAGGGCCTCTCGCCTGGTGAGTGCTCTGATTTTATTGGTCAACCCTCAGCTGCAAAGGTTCTCATCAACATCAAAACCATTTCTAACCATTAAGCAATAGAGAGTTGGTTTCATTTTTCCAAAGAACAAATCAGACAAGACGTCAAATGAAAAGACTAAAGTTAAAGGTATACTATGCAACCGGTGTTGATTTTCCAGCGAGGCTCCCCCCAGAGGGCGAAAGTAAAAGTGCACTGTCGTAAATATGCTCAGCTGTTCTCCTGGTTTCTCCGTCAAGCCAGGCGCGGTTGTTTTGAGCTTAGCAGACAGGCGAACGCAACGAATCACCATGTCTACTGCGGTAAGTGACTATTTTGTTCCAATTTTCGAGTTTGAAAATTTAGCATGTTTTCATACATTATTTGTTATGCATGTGTCTAAATAACAAAGCCGTAAAGCAAGACCGACTCTCGCGATGCACGAGACTTCTGAGCCTGTGGGTGCGGGCCGAGGGCTCCTGCAATTGCAAGTACAGTATTTCCCCTACAGACCACCAGGGCGGCCGAGAAAACCTTTGGTCGACCTAAAATGACTCATTTAATCATCCAAAACGTTATTGAACACATTAATTAACTGAAATATGTTGCATAGTGTGCCTTTAACACGATTTAACTGAAGAGGAAAAACTTCTGATCTAACATGACACAACTGGAAATTAACTGCTTAAACAAAATGAACTGACCCAACAACAAAGGAGACTCATACTGATCGATTAGACCAGAAGAGTTTAGAGGAACATCATATCCGACAGATTTAACAAACATAACCTACGCCCAGAGAGCTGAGAGCTGAAGAGGGTTAGGGCTGAATGAACCTAAATGACTAATAACAAAACGTCAAGTTAATCACAAGACTTAAAAATGTCATTCAACCTGGAGTGTTCCTTTTCCTGTTTGTCCTGTACGGTTTCAGCACTTAGTCCAAGACCCCCCCACACACACACACACACACACACTCGTCGCCCTAACAACCTTAAATCTACTGGCTCACCTGTGAAGGTGAGCCAGTAGAATAAAAAACATTTGTCTTTTTAAACACAAGAAATCTTAAGGTTAGATTTTTCTTTTTCTGTCTCAGAAAGTTTATATTTCTTATCCTTAGATGGATTTAGGATTGCTGGAAACTTGTAGAGTCTTTTCAAAAAGCCGACCGTAGCTGAAAGTGACCTTTAGGTTCCCTATTGGAAGACAAGCAGGCCTTAATGTTTGTGTGTTTGTGCTGCAGACGTGTTTTGGTTGCAAGAAGAAGGGAGCATGCGCCGGCTGCAACGTCAGGAGCTGCAGGAGGGTGGTCCACTTCCCCTGTGGGAGGAACCAGATGTTCATCACTCAGTTCACCGAGATGTTCCCGTGAGTGTCGAACCCAAACAACACAATCATAGAATCCAGATCTATGAACAATGAAGATTTCCCATTACAGCATGATGGTGCACAGTGTAAAACACTTAACACATTTAGGTTAAACTGCTTTTGACATCCGGTTCTTATTGTAAACATAACAGTGGTGAAATACAGCTGTTGAGAATTGTGGTTCAAAAGCACTATCAGACTCCTTCTGTGATTTCGTTGAGCTCTTTTATGACTTAAAAGGGCAAATTCAACGTCTGAACCACGTCTTGCAGCGGCTGACAACAGCCAGAGGTAAAGATTGGAGGTTTCCACAGAGTTTCACAATCAGAGGGAGAAGAACGAGGTCATCAGTTAGCCGTTAGCAGACACTGCAGACGATTTTAGGATTTAAAGACTTTATTTTAGTACTTTATTTCAACCTTAGAGACTGTAGTGATGCATTTATTTTAGTATGCTTATGCTTATACGGGTTTTATTCATTAATTGAATAATAGAAAGCATAAAGGGGAAATACAGAGGAGAGAAAAGTTACATAAAAAACTATTAAGATTAGTGCAGTAGTTTTATCTTAAAATAGCAACTATTTTCACCCTCAAGCTTGTGCAGCTACATGCTATCTTCATAACAAAATGAATCAGAGAAACATTTGATGACACTCTTATAATACAGACTATGAGCAGAGCTGCTTTCTGGTTTAGTTTCTGCTGCTTTCTAGAGATAAAATGAACCTGATTCTCCTTTTTGTTAAAGGAAAACTCTGTTTCTACACCTGAAGCGTTCTCTCTCCGGTTCTTTTTCCTGAAAAGGGATCACTCGGGACAAATTCTTTAAATAACTCTTCATAACGTATATGTATTAATTAACCAAGAGATGTGGGGAGTTCTGAAGGCAGAAGGAATTTTTGCAAAAATACAGATTGATTTTACGTCCGTAGATGGAGAGAAAAGCTCTGCAAGCCCAGCACACACATTTATACCTTATGCTACATTCACACCGGACGCAGCAAGAGCAGCAAAATCGCGTCTGCTGCTTCATTTTTGCTGCTTGTACCAGTTAGTTCTGACGCGCGGCTGAAGCAGCTTTGCTGCTCTGGCTGCGCGGTGCAAAAGTGTGTCTGACGCGCGTTGGGCGGACCTACTCTATCCTTTCTTTGCCTTGCAGCTATATTTGCTGTGATCAGTGGGAATAAAGTAGTTTTAATATGTTTTTAAGTGGGAAAATCCACCTAAAAAACTTAATCATTGCAGTCAGTTCATCAAGATTACAATCCTGCCTTCTAATATTATTTCTCTCGGAGACGCTCAGAAAAAAAAAAGGTCTACCCCCCATCTGGAAAACAGATGAAATATTATTTTCCAGTTATTAAAACTTTTATGTAAGAGGAAATGTCCCACGGAGAATATTCATTTCAACGTGTTAACATGTGTAGTTATGCATAAAAACAGCTGTAGACTGTTAGGAAAAATGATTAAAAACCGGCATGTAAAGGTCTTTGGAAGCAGAGACGGCGATGAGAAGACGCTGGAGGCGGGAACATTGTTTAACTACCGGTAAATGTGTGTTTGCCTCCAGGTCTTACTGTCAGGACCACAGTCCCACTCAGACCCTCAGCGTGGACTCAGACTTCAGCCTGCCTCAGTCCTGCTCCATCTGCTTGGACTCCATCGATCCCATCCTGTCCTACTCTGTCCTCAAGTGTCCGTCCTGCCATACCAGCTGGTTCCACAGAGACTGTGTGCAGGTACCACCGACCGTTCAGTAGATCTTCTAAAGAAGTTGATAAACAGATTTTAAAAGCTGCTGTTACACTTAGACTTGTTAGACTCTGCTTTATTTATCCCTTGGGATTACTCCTTGAGGGAAATTCTGGTTCCAGTAGCTTATATAGAGTACAAAGACTAAAAGCAAGATGCCATTAAAGATAAAAATATAACAGATCATCTAAAAAGAGTGTTTATAGTACCAAAAAAGCATTAAAAAAGAAAGAAAGAAAAGAAAAAAGTAGTAATGTCCTGGAATATGTTTCCCTTAGATATAATTACAGATGTTAGTAAATGTGGATGTTTTTAATTATTGATTCTGTTTCTAATGAGCCTTTGATTCTCTGCGATCTGCTGTGTCCCAGTCACATCTAACATACTTTTAGAAAACCACTACCCCCATCCACTGGAAAAACAAACTAAATGTCGTAGATCAAGTGTATTTACCCTTAATTTAAGTCAGTAAATGAGACAGTTTACCAATGGAATGAGTATTTCTACTCTTAAAATAAGATAATTAGATACAATGCAATAGTTTCTTTCTTATTTTTAAATTGTCTTCTTTCATTGGCAAAGGGTCTCACTTACCTCCTCAATTCAAGAACAAAGGCCCTTATTTTGAGAAAAAAATTACTTTTTTTGATTTAATTATTTTGCATTGTACTGAGTGAATTTTATTTGAAAAAATATATTCAAACCAGAAATAAAACTTTAAAAATGTATTTAATTGAAAGAGGTTACAAGTGTATATTTGTTGTTTTCTCAGATTATTATTTTATAGTTTTTTATTTTTTCCTACTTTATTTTTCTAAATGGTTTGTATAGATTTTATATTTTCATCTTTTTTTTTTTCTTCGGTTAAAAGACTGAATCTGTTCAAACTGCATTTTCCTGATGGCCCCTCTCCAGAAGCAGGCTTTCTTCTGGAGTGGCTGTTTTTATTGGTCCAGAGAGACATTTTATATTGGCCTTAAAGTGAAGAGAAAGTGCTCCATTTGAAATGAAAGTGATTCTTAAAAACTCAAAAAACATTCACAGCAAATAGGCTCTTTGAGATGGTTTTCCTTTAGGGTCATCTCTTAGTGATCTAGAGTCTCTGAACACCTACTGTTCTTTTTCCAGCATCTTTGTCCTTTTCAGGAAGAGTTTAATTCTTATACAGATTCCTGGATGTTCACTGATTTTCTGCTTGTTGTTTTTTCCATGCGGTCAGCGTCAGGCCCACAGTGCAGGACTCTTCTTCTTCAGATGTACTCTCTGCAACAACAAGGAGAACTTCCAGGAGGAGATGGTCAGGATGGGAATATACATCCCAGAACGGTAAGAAATTCATTTGGAGTCCATCTGTGCTGAACAGGATCCATTCACTGCTTAAGGCAAAATATTTGCTAAAAGAAATGAAACTTTCCAGTAAATTTGACCTTCCAAGTTTCTTCTGGAAGAAAGTGTTTCTTCTGGCCAGAAAAAAAAACAAAACAAAAAAAACATGAAAAATTCCCGGGAAACACCGCCATCCGGAAGAAACTTCCAAACCTGGCAGATCCTAAACCCAAAAGACAAACTATTTAAAGCTTCCAGCTAGATTGTGGAAATAAGCTGATGATCTCTACTACAGTTTGTGAAACCCTGAGAGGATTCCAGCATTTAAAATTCACTGTCGTGTTTTTTTTTTCTGTCTGTGCAGAGATGCATCATGGGAATTGGAGGCAAATGCATATTCAGAGCTGCTGGAGGTGTATAACCGCTGCGACTCTGTCCCCTGCCTCTGCAGCAGTGGACGCACACACTCTGCTAAGAAAGGGTACGTCATATTGTGCTTAACCTGCAGCCGCATTTACATTGGGAATCTCTAACTGATGTCATAGTTACATTTCTTAGTGAATTAATAAGGTATAAAGACAGATGTAAAGACAGGGCCAATGATTAAAATGTCTCTGTCGCAGAAATGCTTTGGACACTTTAACCAACCAAGTTTAAGAGGTGACTTTAAAACTCATTGATATTCTTAAAATGCATTTAGTGAGCAGAAGTCCGATAACATCTCTAGAAACTGAGCTAAGGAGGCCATCTGGAGATTCCTCTTCTACAGTCACTTAATCTGTAGCAGCCGACACGGTTCCCAAACAGGAAATTGGTCAGATGTACTGCAAAAAAAAAAATTTTAATCTGAATAAGTAATTTTTTCTTTAAATAAGTAATTTTTCTTGAATTGAAAAGGTAAGTGAGACATTTTGCCAATGGAATAATACAATTTCCATTTAAAATAAGAAAAGAACTATTGCATTGTCTTATTTAGAGTGGACATTATCTAATTATCTTATTGAGTGCAGTTCACACAGGAGATCACATACGAGTCGCATATATTTGGAAATGTGAACGGCAACGCAAAAAAAATAAAAAAATAAAAATCAGATTTCATAAAAGAATTGGAATCGGACATTCTTCTCAGAAATGGTAAATGGCATGTACTTATATAGCGCCTTTATTCAAGTCAGGTAATTTGACCAAAGCGCTTTACACTACATTTATTCACCCATTCACACACACACTCACACACTGATGTTGGCAAGCTACATTGTAGCCACAGCTGCCCTGACCACCATCAGTAGACAATGCAGGTGAAGTGTCTTGCCCAAGGACACAACGACACTGAAAGTCAGAGTCGGGGCTTGAACCGTCAACCCTTCGATTTCAGGGCAAACTCCTACATCCACCGCCACTGTCGCCCTAGAAAGCATTAGAAAGACCTGATTAGCCCAAACATTCAGGGAGAACCTGGAGCTGTGCTTCAGAGGACACCCTGGTGGAGAACATTGAAGAGATCCCAGAGGAAACGCACGGGGGGCCACTGTGAACAGAGAGCTGGTTCTGCGGTCCTCTGGACAATGTTCTAATTTAGCTCTCACTAAACATGCTAACTGCCATGACTGGCTAACCACAGTGTCTGTCTAAATTGTAAAGATCTACTGTTTCACAAACTCAAACGAGAAAAAGACTTTTGCTTTGAAACAAACCAGCCGCCATATATGCAATGGATCATTTTGGTTCATATTTAATGAGACTTTCTTTCTACAGCAGTAGTTTTTTTTCTATCCTTCAAAGATGTTGAACTGTTTCTGGAGTTAAACTTCTCTACACATTTAAACAGAGGTAAGAAGGTAGAAATACATTGTTACTTTGTTTAGGTAGAAATGTTGGGTATCTGTAACCTGACTCCCCCAGATGGATTTGCTCCGCATATCCATCTGGAAACCTTCCGTTGAAGTAATTTTGGGAAGGGGCGAAAATACTGGTTAGCTGATTGGCCTATGTTGGTGATAGACGGGCCAAATAAACCAATCAGATCAACGAAGCATATGATGTACTAACAGAGCGACGACGAAGAGTAGCCAATTAATAGATCAAACTCTTGCCGAAACCAGTCGGGAGAAGAGCAAAAACATATTTTCCTCTGAGAAAAGCCTCCAGAGCAGTGTTTTGCTCTTCTTTCAGTGAAGAAATACTCTGTAATTCCGATAAAACTTGCTCGATAGCCACGCTAACGCTAGCTTCATCGGCTGAAGCCGCCATGTTCTTTAGACCGAACTGTCGCGCTTCTCGTTGCGTCACACCTCAACCCGCCTCAAAGCCAACGCTGATTGGACGTTCGTTTGGTGAACGGCTCCAAATTTTCTTTAACTGAGAGTCTCCAGACTGATCTGCGATTGAAACCTTGAAAGCTCGCGAGATCAGGATGGTCTCACGAGGCTAGGGTATCTGTACTTTACTGGAGTAGTTATTTTTCTAGACTTTTTACTTCTACTCCTTACATTTTAAAAATAGTTTTGTTTCATTTAATCTCATTTTCTATATGGCCTATTGATATTTAAAAAAGAAAAAGAAAAAACATTAAAATAATTAGTTTCATCCAGAAAAGTAATTTCTTTCTGAATCGAGCGTTTTTATTGTCATTACCCTGACACAAATACTCTGCATGTAACCCATCCCCTTGGGGAGCAGCAGGCTGCCATTGTGCGGCGTCCTGGGAGCAGTGTGGGGTTAAGGGTGTTGCTTTTAGACCCAGAGTGGCAGTCTCTGGGAGTGGGGCTTAAACTCAGAACCTCAGGATTCCAAGCTGTATATCCTAACCACTAGGCCGCCCCTCCCAAAAGCCTGTAATGCTTGGACTCGGTGCTGCCCCAACTTGTTGTTCACTACAAACCAAAATAAATAGTTTTTCAAGATGATGCAAAGTAAAGTTTCACACCATTACCATTAGTTATAATACTAAGATATTAAAGCTATATTGGAGAATGTTCCAGGTGGATCATCTCGATTGCAGGAGGAGAAATGGACTTGCATGCGTTTATTTGGCGTTCCCTCTCGGGAGCACGTACAGGGTTGTGTACGTGCGTTTTTTTTTTTTAAAGGGGAGAAGTCTTTTCAAAAATTCGCAAAAATCTTCCACTATACCTTTAATGTCAGGCTATGAGGGATTTTTAGATGACTAATTATGTGCAGTTTTTAAATGATTTAACTTAAAAAATACCTATAGTACAAGGAGAAAAATATCACTACTAAACAATAGCAGAGAAAAGCCCCTTTAGGATCAGCAATGTGTATCGTTTAAAGGTCCTAAAGCAAAAAAAAAAAACTCACAGAAATTTTAATTAAAAGTAGTTTGGAACTCATAGAAAAATCTAAAAGCTTTAGAGATGAAGATTTTTCAAGTGGAGAAGGTGGGTCTTTTTTTGCAAAAATCCTCCACAATGCCCTTAAATCAAAAGAAGAAATCATCCAGAATGTTCCTTTAACAGGGTAGTGCAGTAAAACGTCTGTCCTTAACAAGTTTTCCTGCATTACTTTTACTTTTGTATTATTACTTCAAGAGCTGAAGTTGATCCTCTAACTTTTACAAACATGTTTTTAAACAGTAGGATTTATACTTCTACTGGAGTAATGAATACTTTTGACACCTCTGCATTTAAATGTCTCCTTCTGACATCTGTAATATCTCCTGATGGTTTCAGGTGGTTTGAGTTGATCCGGTGCTGCCTGTGTGGATCCAAAGGAACTCACCGAAAATGTTCAGGGCTGAAGGTGGACACCATTGACTGGGCCTGCAGCGACTGCATCAATGCCACGGATGGGAAAGGTCTGACCTGGCAGGTATGTGGTCTGTTTGTTGGTAAGATCATCCAGCTCATGTTGTTCTCTACTGCAGCATCTCTGGTAGCCTCGCCTCAGGGCGGCCAGAAGAGAAGCCTGCTTTCCAAGCGCCACCTGTCTCCCATGCCATCTCCGATTGGCTATAAAAGGTAAGCAGAGGAAACGCTTCTTTCTCCACCTGGAAGATCCTCTGTTCATGCTTTCATCCTTCCCTTTGTCAGACCGTGTACACCGGTAAGACCTAAATCTCCTGAGGAGTTGCTCCGGTCTCTGCTTCCTCACCGATACCCTGTCAGCACCCAGGTGGAGGTGCACGGAGACCAGGCGCTGTTGGCGGGTCTGGAGCTGGTCCGAAGGGCCGACTTTGACCCATTGCATTCGCTGTCCGTCTGGTAGGTTCCTTTCTCTGCTCTGATGCTTTCCCCTGTTTCTGCTCTTCAACTGTCAGCTGTCTGTCCAGCTTCAGAGACCTGCAGTCCACCGCCCCCCTCAGCACTGCCTGCGACGGAGAAGCAGACAGGAAACACTTCCTGAAGCTGCTGATGGAGCAGATCCAGAACTCAGTTGTGTTTGAGGGTCCGAGCAGTTCCAAGAATCTGGCGCTGGACTCCCAGGGTAGGCAGAAGCCACTTGGTGTCCGATCGATCCCACCGCCTCTCGGTGTCTATGGTGTAACGACTGTGCCATTGGTTTAAGCGCTGTCCTCAACCTACTGTCCTCTTTTAGGTTTCATCTTTGCGCGCTCAATGCCAGCTGTACCAACTTTATAATGTATGTATTTTTTTTTTTTTTTTTTTTTTTTTTTTTTTTACAGTGTCCTGTCTGGCAAGGTGGCAATAAGAATAATTGTCTTGATGCCAAAAGGAGCCCAACAGATTTTACTTTCACAAGTGTAGCGGTATCGCAATTGCCATACCGCTCCACTTGTTTCATGTATATAAATTGCTTTATTATAATTATGCAGGGAGTTTTACAGTTCATATGGACACTGCAATGTAAGTAGAGCAGAAAAACAGAAGAAGAAGAAGGAAAAAGAAAAAGAAAAAAACAGGACAAAAGATGAAAGAAAGAGGAGATAGGAAGGAGACAATGACAAAACATTTTCAGTCTGCTTCAACACCTGTAATGAGATGGAGAAAAAAAAAAAAAAAAAAAAGAAAAAAGAACAGCACAACCAAAAAACATGGTACGAGATATACAATAAAGCAAACACCTTGAAACTATCACTAAAGTAATATTATTAAGTCTGACATGTACTCTGTGTTACCTGAAGATATGAATGTGGGGTTTCTGTTTGGAAGTGAATCTCTAAGTACCTGAAGCCTAGCACCTGTAGTTGTTTGTGAGGGTGAACTTGTGCATGTAAAGTTTTAACCATAGAAAAAAATGCTCAATAGTGGTTGTGGAGAGCCGGAGAGGCACACCCCCCAGAGCACTGAGTCCAGCGCCGGGAGACCCAAAGCCCCAGGCGCCCAAGGGGACCCCAGAAGCGAAGGCACCAAGGCGGGGCCAGCCCCGGAAATCAGACCCCACCAAGGCAGGAGGAGAGACAGCCACGAGGAAGCCCCCCAGCCACCGCCATGCCGGCGCCCCGGGGAGCCGCGGGGACGAGTCCGCGGGCCCCGCCGGCAGCCGGCCACCCCGAAGTAGGGCCGGGCGCCGAACACCAGCCCCCCCACGGCGCCGACCGAAACGCCCCAGCCCCACAGAGCACCGAAACACGCCCCGCCCCCCAGCACCAAGCCCCGGCGACCGGCCGCAACACCCACCGCGACCGCACCACCCAGGAAAACACTAAGACGGCCCCGCCCCCGGCCGGGGCCCATGCGCATCCGCCGCGAACCGGCCACGAGCGCCGCGGGACCCCCCCCAAAACGCCCCCCCGGCCAAAAGCGCAGCCCCACCCCACCAAGACCGATGCCAACAGCGCGCAACGAAACACACCGCGCACAGAATCAGCCCGAGAGCAGAAAAGCCGCCCGGCGCAAAACCGCAAGAGGAGCAGACCGCAGCCGGCGCAACCACCCCCCCCAGCAGCCCGAGGGGCAGCACAAGGCCAGAGCGGAGCGAACCGCGCCGCCCCCCCACCGGACGATGCCAAAGCAGCCCAGCCACTATAATGTATGTAAATGAACCACACCATCAGCCAATCACACTCTAGTTTTTTTCATCCAATTAAAGCATTTGTTCCAAATACTAAATCCGGTTTAAAGAAAAACCCTTCGCCTGTGTCCGAACGTCCGCCCTAACCCCTAAACCCCTCCATCACTACATAGAGTAGGGACTATATAGTGAACTTTATAGTGAACTCATTCAACTGACAGATGATCATTACTTTTTGCTTCCTGTCGGTCATGTGACGCCGCCTCCCCGCATGGTGCCTGCACCATCTTTTGTAGTCGTCGCTACAACAAATCCCAGAAATATCCCAATCCGGGATATATCTGCTCGTCTGGTGAACATTGATGATCACTACTTCTTCAGGGTTCCCGTGGGTCCTTAAAAAGTCTTAAAAGGCATTGAATTCTTCAAAACAAAACTAAGGCCTTAATTTGTATTAAAATGTCTTAAATCAGTCTTTCGTAGGTCTTAATTTTTAAAACATCATAAATAGGATTATTTTTATTACGATTTATTTTTGTAATCTAAATAAAATATTAAATTGAAAACCGTTTTTTTTTTTTTTTTTTATAAAAAAAAAAATAATGGCTCGCCATTATTGGTTCCGTCCTGATAGCGGAACCAATAAAAGCGTTGTTGTGGCCGGGACATTTGGGAGATGCGGCATTAACTTCTTGTCTGGAAAATATGAGCAAGTGTAAATGTAACCAAAATTGTCTCCAGCCAAGAGTTTTCTCCATGGCTAAAACCAGGGAACATACATGAGGCTCAGTGGATTTTGTTCAAGAAGTCATTCAAGCTCAGAACGATGGGAATTAAGGCAGTGGAGTCGCACATGCGAAGCACGAAACACAAAGTGTCAAAATGGAGTTACTGAGAAACAGACGGTATTTCTCAGTTTAGTTCCACCCTTGTCTCTGCAACGCCTCCACTTATCACCATATCAAACATACTAAGAAAACCATACAAAGAAAAATAGCTGCAAAAAAGACTCACCACTGGTTATGTTGGGGCTTTAAAACGGATTTGTTTTGTTCCCTGCTAAAACAAAGTTTGTGAATTCAGTTAAATAATTGTTCAAATATATCTGTCATTTGTGTGTTTTTAGCTTTCTTCCTGTATGGGAAGCTTTTCAAAATTTGAAACATTAGTGCAGTGGTTTATGTTAAAATAAACCTTTGGGTTAAGTTGTTGCAAGCAGGTTTTTCTTGTGTTTCTTGTGAATTTGGTCTGAAATTTTTATTTCAAGTGGCATTAAAAAGTCTTAAAAAGTCTTGAATTTAACTTGCCTTTTGCTGTAGGAACCCTGTTCTTAAGGTGCAATGTGAGAAATTTTGAGTCCACTACTTTTTCATCCACTAGACATTCGGACACTCATCTAAAATCCTGTAATCACTATATAGTGATGAGGGCGGACGTTTGGACACAGCCCTGGAGGAAAAACTTCCCAAGAGGAAGATTTCCATTAAACGGGCACAGACGGGCCGACGTTAGCCCCGGCTGCCGCAGAGGGGCCGACGTTAGCCCGTGGAATGCTTGCGAGACTCTCCTAGAGAAGCATTATGGGATTTTTTTTCACAGCAGCCGGCTGTCTGGTAGCAGGAGATAACAAAGATGGTGCAGGCACCATGCGGAGAGGCAGAGTCACAAATGTACACTGAGTGCAGAATTATCAGGCAAGTTGCATTTTTGAGGATTATTTTTATTATTGGGCCACAATTGTTCTTAATCAACCCAAACGACTCCTTAATATCAAAGTTTCATATTTTTGGAAATTGATGTGTTGTTTTTTTTAGATTTGGCCATTTTATGAGGATATCTGTGTGCAGGTAAATATTACTGTGCAGAATTATTAGGCAACATAATACAAACAAATCTATACCCATCTCACTTGTTTATTTTCACCAGGTCAACCAATATAACAACTCAAACTTCAGAAATAAACATTTGCGACATTCAAAAACAAACAAAAAACCTAAATCAGTGACCAATATGGCCACCTTTCTTCACCATGATGCTCAAAATCCTTCCATCCATAGATTCTGTCAGTGTCCTGATCTGTTTGTGATCCACATTGCGTGCAGCAGCCACAGACACTGTTTTCCCTCCCTGTAGATCTCACATTTCATGAAGGACCACAGGTTCTCCATGGGGTTCAGATCAGGTGACCAAGGGGGCCATGTCATTATTTTTCTCCTTTTAGACTTTTTCTTGCCAGCCACGCTGTGGTGTATTTTGATGCGTGTGACGGAGCATTGTCCTGCATGAATATCATATTTTTCTTCAATGATGGCGACCTCTTCTTGACCCACTGTTTGAAGAAGGTGTCTTCCATTAACTGGCAGTAGGTCTGGGAGTTGATCTTGACTCCATCATCAACCCGAAAAGGTCCCACAAGCTCATCTTTGATGATAGCAGCCCATAGCATTACCCCACCTCCACCTTGATGGCGTCTGAGTCGATAAGGAACTTGCTGCCCTTCACTGATCCAGCCTGGTGCCCATCCATCCATCTGGCCCATCAAGACTCGCTCTCATTTCATCAGACCAAAACACCTTGGAGAAATCAGTCTGCAGATATTTCTTGGCCCAATCTTAATGTTTTTTCTTGTGCGTCTTGTTCTAAGGTGGCCTTTTGTTGGCTTTCCTTACCTTGGCCAGGTCCCCGAGTATTGAGCACCTTGTGCTTCTCGGCACTCCAGACATGTTGCAGCTCTGAAATATGGCACAACTGGTGACTAATGGCTTCCTGGCAGCTTCACGCTTGATCCTCCTGAATTCATGGGGAGTTATTTAGCATCTTCTTTTTTCAACATGCTTCTTGCGCCCCTGTTGGCAATTTGCCATGAACCACTTGCTTGTGCAATGATTGCGCTACAAAAGCTTGGCAACAACCAAACTGCTGCACCCCTCTGAAAGACATCTGACAATTTTTGTCTTTTCAGAGTCTGTCAAATCTCTTTTCTGATACATTTTGCTAAAGGAAAGGAAGTTGCCTTATAATTAAGCCCACCTTATATAGGGTGTTGATGTCATTAGGCCACACCCCTTCTCATTACAGAGATGCACACCACCTGATTTACTTAACTGGTAGTTGGCTTTCAAGCCTATGCAGCTTGGAGTAGGACAACATGTATGAAAAGGATGATGTGGTTGAAATACTTGTTTGCCTAATAATTCTGCACACAGTGTAGTGATCATCTGTCCGAACTGTGTGTTACCTATGTTCACTATATAGTCCCAGCAATATATAGTGATGGAGCGATTTAGGGGTTAGGGCGGATGTAAGGACACTGCCAGAGTCGAGCACGCAGCTGGTGTTGAGCACGCAGAGGTGGAACTGAGGTTGAGGACAGTGGGTTGAGCGCGTCAGACAGGTTTTGAGCTCACGCATGTGTGATGTTTGAAGGCTGAATACCTGCCTCACTCCGCGCTCGGATTGGTGCCTGCACACTCAAACCAAATGCACAATTGTTACTCCTCTCCGTGTCTGTCGTAGCAGCCTCACAGGCCGTGTTCCTCTCTTTGTTCTCCAGCCCTGCGTGAAGATCTGTACTTTGACATCGGCTCCCTGCTGGCTCTCTGTCTGGTCCACGGCGGTTCGCCCATTGGCTTCTTCTCCCACGCCCTCTATCAGTGTCTGTTCAACTACCCAGCCAACCGCCCCCTAACTCTGAACCACATGACCCCCAACACGCACTTCACCCAGCAGGTCCATCAGGTGAGTGTAGGACGGGTTCTGCTGCCTCCAAGGTCGAACCTGCTGATTTCCCAGAATGACTGCGTGGTATCGGTCCATCTAGATCGCTGCCGCCCAGAGTTTAGATGAGCTGAAGGAAGCCACGAGGAAGAGCTGGGAGTACCTGGAGCTGGCTGGCTGTAACAGACTGGTCACCAGACTGGAAGACAGGGAGGCTCTGGTGGAAGACCTGGTCAACTTCACCATGATCACCAGGATGCAGCTGCCGCTGCAGAGGTGAGGATCAGGTGGTTGGTGTACCATGCAGAACCCAGGAAAGTTCTAAAGAATATTTAATTAGACTTTATTTCCAAACAGCAGGTCATCAGATCCAGGGAATAAACGGCTATTGCATAAACAAAGAGATAAATAAAAAAATACAGTCAGGATAATAAGTAAATAACTTCAACTATAACAATAAACAGCAAAAAATAAAAAATCTTATTATCCATATTAACAAGAACACAGTATATCCACTAAATATAAGAATCTGCTATGTTGTTAAATAAAGAGTTCAATAGCTAACCTTTAAAGTCTGCTAACAGAGCAGTTAGCAACATAGAAAGTCTAATAAAGGAACCACATAAGTACATCAGAACTAATATGGTACTGATTCAATATTTGTCAGGGTACATCAGGCTGCTGGAAATCATTTTGATCTGACAAAAGACCTATGAGCCTATAGGCCTATTTAAAATACAATAAATAAAAAGAAATAAATGGATTGAAATTCACTACTTTATTGCCATACACACTTAAGTGCACGGAACCAGGGTCTGTATCACACACACACTCAGGTGACTATATGAGCTATTAATTAAACTTCAAAATAAAGGAAATGTCAGTGGCTTTATCCCAATTTGTTTTTATTTATTTTTTTTATTTGTATGAGTTTTTTTCTGGATGCCAAACCAAACACAAAATCTGATCAGTCTCTTCCACATCATGCAGCCACTGCCATCCAACCAACTAGGCCGGTGCCACGGACCGTGAGAACGTTTCATTACTGCAAAGCCGAGCAGGAAACTGGATGTTGGCTGGAAGGGCGTGTCCAATCCAATCACGCTAGCTACGTTTGCCGGTGCAACTACCATCATAGGCGGGTGGACAGTCTCCTCACTCCGGCTGTGCTCTGTTGTCGTGGTTGAGTTACCGTACTAGTATTCTTGGTGTTTCTGTCATTAGGCTACTAGTCTGCTGCCACGAGCGGGATTCCTCGGCGACCACTAGCTTACTTGACGTGTCCAGTTTGCTAACTTGCCATGACAACGTAACTTCAGTGAAGTTGCGTTGATTAGGCCTCATAATGATTGAATTAAAATCCAAATACACGTAATAGTAAAATAAAAAGGTCAAAATCAATCTCCAAAATATCTACAAGAAATGTATAAATTGTGTATTTTTAATGCATTTTTAAAAAAAGTCTCCCTCTCCCCACTAGCGGGCATGCAGCACCCCCAGCACCCCCTTTTCCTGCGGCCATGGGCTAACACGGAGTACAAGTAATGAATAACAGCCCTCAGCATCCCGATACATGGAATAATGTGACTAAACTATGTTGAGTAAAAATATATATATAACCAAACGAATCTTCTTGAAAAGTAGATATAAACATGCCAGAGCAGCATCGAACTGTAAAACGCGCACAAAACTGGAAACAAGCTCTCTCTGTGAATGTTATTATCAGCTCAGAGAAGTCTGGTCAGAGCTGCACCCCACATTCACTGTCCAGGTGCTGCTCACCTGATGGGGCATTCAAGTGTTCCCTGGAAACCCTAGCACTCACTGATCTGCTTTTAGATAATACCCACATAAGGAAGTGAAGCTATAGACCAAAGGCCAGAACGCACTGAATCTGATTTTGCACCCAATCTTACAGAAAAATCATGTGGCGTTTTGCGGTCATTGATCTCATGCAGGGGGCAGGATAGCTAAAACAAATCCGCTTTGGGGGAAAATCCCAAATAAAATCTGTTGATCTCACGGGGAAAGAGTCGGTTTGGAGTCGCACTCGTGTTTATTGAAAGCAGGACAGACTGGGGCAAAAACAATGAATGAAACATTAAAATGGAAAACTTTCCCCATGATAGTTCAGGAGGACAGAAAACGGATAAAGTAGTGATCCTCTTTGAGGACAGAAACCAAAAAACCAAAATAAGGAGGGGCAGACAGAGCAGGTAACCGCAGCACATCTCTCTCACCTCTTTATGAAGAAAAAAAAAAGAAAGAAAATTTCGGATAAACTTCCCAGATCTCTGAGAATCACCTCTCTGCCTCAGTCACCAAAGAAACCGTCCCACGCCATTTATTGCTGCATTTTTCTTTTCTTTAGATGTAGATCTGTCAGGTCTAAGCACCTAAAACATCCAGAGATGGGAAGTAACTAAGTACAAATACTTCGTTACTGTACTCAAGTAGATTTTTCAGATATTTTTACTTTACTTTACTACTTATTTTGGAAGTAACTAAGTACAAATACTTCGTTACTGTACTCAAGTAGATTTTTCTGATATTTTTACTTTACTTTACTACTTATTTTTATGGCGACTTTTTACTTCTACTCCTTACATTTTTACACAAATATCTGTACTTTCTACTCCTTACATTTTAAAAAATTGGCTCGTTACTTTAGTTTTGAATCATTTCAATGGAGTTACCGTTATTATTTTTCATGTCATCAATACCAAATTCAATCTAATTGGATGGAAATCTACGTTGCATTTGACGCACCACTACAAGATGAATTGACAGATTCGGCGGTATTCATTCACGGCAAATCATTGCAGCTTGGTGGCGGTGGCGTTAGCATAGTAGCATGGACGACGAGATGATTGAAAATGAACACAACGGAGATCTAGTTCTATTGGCAGACATCCATTTAAAATGTAGGCAACGGCATGAAAAAAGTGGTTTCTACTTTTACTTTTATACTTTAAGTAAATTTACAAGCCTGTACTTTGTTACTTTTACTTGAGTAAAGAAGTTTAATCAGTACTTCCACTTTTACCAGAGTATTTTTTAACACAAGTATCTGTACTTTTACTCAAGTACGGAAAGTGAGTACTTTTGCCATCTCTGAAAACATCATACATACATACAGGGAAAGAGTCTACAATCTCCACCTCACTTTGCAGTCTCAGCGTTCTGCTCGCTATTTATTAGAAATCAGGGGTCCCTTGTTACAACAGCTGAGACTGCTCTAGAGATCAGAAACAAAAAAATTCACTTGCAGTCAGGGTAAACATCCTATAAATTTCAGGGTTCAGTCAAAGTTTAAGCGGTTGAAGCTGTTCACCAAAGTTCAGCAGGTCGAGTGCTGCCCGTAAATCAACCACAACCTCCCCAAAAGCAAATCTTACAAATCACAGTATACTTCAGAAAAGATGGCTATGAACACTTGCACATAGCACACAGCTTTATGCATGATAACACTACACAGATACATTTATATACAGTTATTCTAACAATAATCATTATGTTTTTAGTAGGTGAACATTCTCTATCTGTTCTGGTTCTAGATGCTGCACAGAGTCGTTAAGTGAGGCTTTGCTTTATAGAACGCAGCGGTGGTTTTTATTGATAACTTTTCATAATCTGTTCCGGTCAAATGACAATGTAATGTGAAATTGTTGTAATGTGTGTATAGCTCAGGGACAGAAATGAAAAAAATCTGCTCAGATCTGATCACCCTGCCTATTCGGATCCTCTCTATATGCAGTCAGTGTGACATGGGGAAAAAATTGGATCTGAGATTGAAAAATCGCTAAAACCAGAGTGTTCAGGGATTTACAGAGATGTTTCCTGAAGCTCAGTTTTTACAGCCAGCCTGTCGTTGGTACGGTGAAAACCTGTTATCCTTTTTATGATCTGTTGACGTGTTCCTAGTTCCTTCTATAATGACTCGGTCCTGCAGTCCCTGTTGGACTTAGCTAAATGTTATTTTGCGCCTGCAGGTTGCGGGAAGGTCTGCACACGTTGGGCGTTTTTGATCAGGTGAGTTTCACGCTGCAGACTGTTCAGTTAAAGAGCGGTGCTGAAAAAGTGAACTTTCTGATCTGATTTAGGTTCAGCTCATCCCGTCCGTCTTCTTCAGTGTTTTCTGTGAGGCTGCAGAGCCGCTCACTGCAGAAACGCTCAGCCAGCTCTTCACCGTCAGCTTCTCCGAGCAGGAGGACAAACTGAACCTGGAGACGCCTGTGGTCACCTTCTGGAGACACTTTCTGCTGGAGTGTGAGGGTAGGATGTGGATGCTGTTTTATTCATATGAAGCACTGCTCAGACACCATGAGCACCACCTTTATCCTGTCTCCTCAGTTGGAAGGAGCTCCGTCTCCCTTGAGGACGTCCTCCGCTTTGCCACCGGCGCCAACAAGCTACCAGCAGCCGGCCTCTTCCCGCCGCCCTCCATTTCCTTACTCCACCGTCCACCCCCCTACCGGGTGGGGTTGAAGGAGCAGAGGGAGGGAGTAGAGCAGTGGTTGGATGAAGGGCTCTTCCCTCAGAGCAAACCCATGTCCAACAAGCTCCTGCTGCCTGTTACCTCCACCTACAAGGCTTTTAAATGCTCCATGGAGCAGGCCATCAGCCATCACATCCACCTCTTCCCTTTGGACGCCTAGACGGCAAAGTGCCTTTCGTTTTTTTTACATCCACCATCGTTATGGAGTTCTTTTGTTTTGTTTCTTGTACCGTCTTGTTTCCTGAAGTCAAATGTTTTCTTCAGGGTGTCAGAAGGTTAATGTAACCAGATCAAGGCTTAGATCAAAAAGAAAGTTTCCATCTTTACAATCTTTCTCCAAGTTCTTAGTTTGAAAACGTTTCAGAGCAGGAAGGTTTTCTGGCCTCCCTCTGCTGTCGATTCCTTCTGGCTTCAGTTTAGGCTGCAGAGAATCAGGAAAACATGACGACTCTTTCCACTGTGATTGACAAACGGTGATGAGGCTGTTTCCATTTATTCCGCAGCTGTAGCTTCAGGTGAAACTTCTCTGAACCCGGCAATGCTAATTCTTAGCAGTTCTTGGGTTCTGGACCAGCTGGTGACTCCAACTGGAAGATCTTGTTCTCTACCGCTGACACTCATCTGAAAAAGAGCTTTGATTAATTTTTTGTTAAAACTAGACCACGTTTAAAAATTGAAATGTGACATGAGGATCCTGGACTGGTTTTATTCAAGGCCATTCCCTTTTAGTTAAACCAGACGTGTTCCTAATCAGTGGGAAATGTCTGAATGGTTTTAATGGCATTGTTGTTTCTGGATGAGCAAAACTGAGAACTGGACCAAAACCAGCTAACTGTAAATGTCTGGATCTTTGCAGCTTAACCTCTGAGTCCTTTCTTGGTTTTTTTGTCGCTTCTGTCTGTACCTGTTGTTATTTGTACAGTGCTGACTTTATATCTTTGCTCTGACTTTAGCATTTAGTTCCTTCCTGTTTATGTTTGTTTTTCTGTTGTTTTTTTTTTTAAAGTTTGATTCTTGCCGTCATGTTTCAGGGTTGGTTTTTATTAGGTTGATAATATTTGGGACAAAGGGCCTGATGAAGTGGTTTTCAGTGGGTGAGCTCTCTGACTCTCATGCTACGTTCACACCGGACGTGGCAGAAGCAGCGAGTTTACATGCAAAGTCAATGGTTGACACGCATCAAGGCGCAGCAAAAGGTCCCGCAGCGCGTTTTGAGCAGCAGGCGCAGCACGTCGGGAGCGTTTTAGCATCTGACGCGCTGCTGCTTGAGATGGAAAATTGTAACTTTTGCTGCTCGACGCGCCGCATCAACCAATCAGAGGAGCTGATCTGGGAGCTGGCAGGGAGACAAACACATCGCTGATGACACAGAGCGCTGTGATCACTCCTCTGAAACAGTTTGACGCATAAATTAACTTAAAATGCAGAAATCTGCCGGCAGAATATGTTCGCTTTTATTATCCTGGTACCTGCAGTTTAGATTATTTAGATGAAAAACACCTACCAGCTGCCGCGGTGAACCGCGAGGAGGCAACCGGGCCAGAGGCTGCTGTTCAAGGGAGTCCTACTGTCGGCGCACCGCCGGTATGTGGGGGTCTGAGCGGCTCCGACAGAAATAATACTGGAAGGCGGGATGTAATCTGGATGAACTGACTGCACTGATTTAAAAACATATTAAAACTACTTTATTCCCACTGATCACAGCAAATATAGCTGCAAGGCAGAGAAAGGATAGTAAAGCTCCGCCCAATGCGCGTTAGAGCCACTTTTGCACCGCGCAGCCAGAGCAGCAAAGCTGCTTCAGCCGCGCGTCAGAACAAACTGTTACAAGCAGCAAAAATGAAGCAGCAGATGCGATTTAGCTGCTCTTGCTGCGTCCGATGTGAACGTAGCATCAGACTACCAGTTTTTACAGTGGACGTTCACAGCATGAACCTTTTTCGCATATCATGATGCTCCAGCCTCCAAATAGTTTAAATCAGCTTCCCTCTAAATGCTACACATAATGAAATTTGGAAAAAGATTTCAAAATTCCATAATTACCTAACTCCAGCAGACTCGGATGGATGTATCAACAACCACCTGGACTAAAGACTCACTGACAGACAGAGCAGTTTATTAGACTGAAGGCTCAGCTGTCTGATCCAAGGGTCAGAAGCAAGGGTGTAACTTTGCGATAAACATTGGTGGGGACGCTCTAAGGGTGGTGGCTGATGGACCTACAGCTGCTCAAGCCGAACGCTTTCAATACGGTTTATATTTTCCAAAAATTCGCTCAAAAACATATCTATTGAACGCTTTACTATTGTTGAGAACACAAGAGTACCTCAATATATTTGTGGTATTTATAGTTATAGACAGATGCCTGCCTTTAGTGCATTGTTTTATAAAGGGCTCAAAAACATTAATGTATTAAAAATGATGAATAACAGTCGATACCAACATCAAGATATCCTGCATCCCTAGTATGGACACAACTTCAACTTCATCCATCCATGCCTGGCTTCCCTTTAAGCTGCATCAGTGATTATCCTCCTTCACAAGCAGCAAAATCTAATTTAGAAATGTGTCCCATATGTCATTAACAGCCAAAGACTAGATATTGTACCTTATATTTCAAAAATCATTTATACACTGATCTTTATTATGTGTGCTTTAATTCTTGCAGGTTTCTTATACTTTAATTTTAAGTCTGTGTCCTGTGAGTCTGTCTCTGGGTTGGCTGGCTCAGCTATTTCTGAGTCTTATTGAACTACAAAAGACAAAAAGATATGTTGAATTTTATTATAGCATTGCATATTTTTTCTTGTAAACTTGGGGACACATTTTTGAAAATCCCAGAAAATCTGTTTTACCTTTAAATCAGCAGCTGTCCCTAATTGTGTCTCTGCTCTGCTTAAAATCATATTTATGAACCTGTCTACCAATATAAAGATGCCAGAGAAAATCATTTTCAGGATCTCTAGAAGCTCTGCAGTCTGATTCTCTGCTCCATATGAAAACAACAGATCTGTGTTTATTTTAATCTGTAACTGAGTAATGTTCCTCTGAGAAGCCCAGCTTTTTTAACTTGTATAAATGTACCTATCTGTTGCCATTTTTATGCTGGAAAAAATCCATATGTGTAACAAACAGATTTCTCGGTGGAATCTCTAATTTTTGTAACCAACTAGTCTCCTAACCTTTACTTAATTATATATCGGAGTAGCTGCCGGTTAAAATTTACTGAGTGCTGCTGTGAATTTATGTTAAATGGCTTGCCATATACGGTATCTCTTCTCATCCTCTTAGCGACTCTGTACGCAGTGAATAGCGACACCAAATAACTGGTGAAGATTCTCAGTCATCCAGGTCATAGTCATTCCGTAAAAGCTTAAAAAACAAAGTCCAGTGGATTGTTTTTTAAACTTTTACGGAATGACCCCAAATAACATTATGTCACAAAGCGCAGAATGTTTCACCGAGAGGTCGACTGGAGATCAGCGGGAGAGAGAGGAGAAAAGACGGACTAAAAATGCTCTGAACACAGTAGGAAGACTCTGAAGTCAAAGGGAGCATCAAAGATGGAGCAGAAGCTGAGGACAGAGAGCTGGTGAAGCGCTTTGTGGCATGGTGTGGAAACAATCATCTGATCCTCACGGTCAACAAAACGACATAATTCAAGATTTCGGAAGAAACGGGAACAAGTTGTGTCCTGTTCACATGCTGGGAGAAGAAGTCCTTTGGTGTTCACCTGGACAACAAACTGGACTGGAGACACAACTGGGAAGCCGTCTCCAAGAAGGGACAGTCTGCTGTGGAGAGTGGTTATTCCTCCATCTTCATCAGAGCTAATGACTGAAAGAAGCTCAAGCAGCTGATAAAATAAGATCGGCTGTTATAGGAACTCCTGGAATTTCTGAAGATGATTTCACAAAGAAGGAAAAGGATGATGGCCAACAGTGAGCATCTTATTCAGAAGATCTTTAAACAACTGAGTGTCTTGAGTCAGAGGCTTCTCCAGACCCACTGTAGGACAGACAGCTGCAGATCCTTCCCCTTTAAGTTAAAATTACCATTTTCTAAAACAAAATGAATTAGAACTCCAGAGAAACTGATAAATTTTTCTGTAAAAAATATATATTTTATTTGTTTTGAAAAAAACATTTTGCAAATGAAAACTGGTATCCTATCTTAATCCTTTGAATTTCGACTTTGAAAGTCGAAATTCAGACTTTGTACATCATAATGATGACTTTGTATCTAATAATTATGACTTTGTATCTCATAATCATGACTTTCTATGTGGCTTTTTTTTTTTACTTTCATGTGGCTTAAACGGGCTTCCATACTTGTCTGCTAAATTGTGTAAAATTAAGGTTTATACGTTTCAATCTGGTTTCCAGGAAAATATAACGAGTGATACCTCATTCATATCCACTAGTCTCTGATGTACGATAACGTCGGACCGCGCGACTGCCACGTCAATGGTTCCGTCATCACTATCAACAGAAAACATGGCGACGTCTGTCCGAGAGAAGCAAACAGGTGAGTGAAAACGCCTAAAGCTGGGCTGTTTTCTGCTGGAATATGGTTCCATCCACATAGGATAGCAGAGGCCATCACTGCTGGGTGGTTCCGACCGAACCGAACCGAACCTGGACCTCTGGTGCAGCCTGTCAGGCTTCAGCAGCCCGCGCGCTTGATAAGCTAGCTGCTCATACCGGTGCTGCGGCTTGAACGAAGCTGCTTCTGTCCATCTGCCGTTTATATCAGACTGCTGTTGATGAGCGAGTCCACGGGAGTGGACGCGTGTCAGCTGTGGGTGTCCTGGATGGTCTGAACCTGCAGCTAGGATGGAGTCCATCCGCCCATTCACCAGCCTTCTCTCCCTGCCTGTGCTCCATTTAGTTCTATAGCGCCAATTCACAACGTAGGTCATTTTACAGAAATAATTCAGCCAGATCATACAGCCAAATTGATTCAAAGTTTTCTATCTAAGGAAAATTTAATTGATTGCATCAACTCGTTGACTCTTCAGCAATCCCTCAGCTTCTGACGCATAACCTCTGCAACCGTCAAATCTTTCTCTTTGCGTGACCACGCCCCCCGCGCAGAGGTTCTGCAACCTTCGTCACGCACCTAAAAAATATCCTGACTTCGCTTCAGACGGTCGCAAACCCGTGCAGACCTCAAGCTGAAGTCTGCAGACAAAAATCAGCTGTGATTGGTCCTTGGTATGCCTTTCTGGCTGTCTGTGGTTGTCCTTCTCGATTCGGTGCCGGGGCGCGCCATTTTTAAAAACCGAGGAGTAATAGCAACAATGGAAAACCACCAGGAAAGGTTGATCGAGGAGGTTCGGAACTACAACAACTTGTACAATGCCTCCAAAGAAGTTCTCGCAACCATCTGTCGAAGTTCGCAGTATGCTTGTAGCGACAGTGGAGAGGAAAAATTATCTTTGAACAGGAGGAAATCTTCAGCAGACCAAGGCACAGTGTGAGCGACCATCTGCTGAGGCCGAGGGTTCAAGGAGACAGAAGCAGACATAGAAAAAGAAGCATAGATACAAAAGGCAACTGTCAACCAGCTCCACAGGCGGCCCCATCCAGGAAACACACAGCCAGGCAGACGGGCTCCGAGCCAGCTCCCATGTCTGAGAACACATCACTGGAAAACAGGCCAAGCGCCAACATCTAGAAACAAAGGTGTTGATGGCAGCAGCACAGCTGATATTTCTCTCCAGGATGGAGTCACAGCCAAACAGGAACAGACCAGATGAAGCTACTATGAGAAAAAGCAGAGAGAGCAGAACGTTAGAGATTGAACTAACAGATTCTGCAGAGTGGGAGAATAGAGATAGAATGAAGCAGAATGATGAAATAGGGGTCCCTATGTCCTCCAGCAGTCTAAGCCTATAGCAGCATAACTAGAGATTGCTCAGGATAATGTTGGTAGCAGACGGTCAACCATTGGCTAAAATCATGATGCTCCTTCACATCACACACAGAGCTTTCTAAAGGGCTGTTTATACTCCCACAGCA